ATATCTTAAACCTGATCAAAAGCTCCTTACCTGTGAGATAGATCAAATATAATATAATATTATAATACAGCACAGCTATATAAAACAGGATTACTTATTTCCTGCAGCTCCAAATTGCAGCTAGCATTCATCATTCTATATTTGCTGTGAAATCAAATTTGTTCTGATTTCTTCCCACAAATCTTTCAGACGCCTTCGCCATTCCCATGATGCATCAGAAACCTCCTGTTTTTTTTTTGTTTTGTTTTTTCTTTTCAGCATGTGGATGTTCTGTGAGATGGATCCGATGACATATCTGAAATGCAGGCGACAGAAGGAATGTTGTCGTTTCTCGATGTGTAGTGCTCATAAAATATTCAGGATACAATGTGAGATATGCATTACCAAGGAACGAGACCACACTCACACACACACACTGATAACATCATAGGTCAAAGGCAACACTGGATTTGTGTCATATCGGCCTCTGGCATCCCAAGAGATTCTGTTCTCATATTGCTTTCTTTGCTGCCTGAATTCACAGGATCATTGACCTGAAGAACTAGTCAAATGTACAGCTGAGACAGTGAATAAAAGGGAACACAAATCCTGCGCTGTGCAAGAAAACACATGATTTGTCTTTAGAACACATTGGAAGTATTTAGAAATAACCATATAATATTATTATTAATAATATTAATAATAATATTTTTTATTTTTACCAATGGAAAATGGTAATATGATTAAAAACTGTGGACACTGCAGATTAGAATAAAAGCAAAAGCTCCTCAAAGTCAACAAGCCTCATTATGAATGATAAATTTACCGTAAGATAACAGAACCGTTTCAAACACATTCATTATGGCACTGTGAAATTTTCAGTTACAATCAACACTACAAATGCCTGAATCAATGTGACAACAATATGCACAAGAACTTCTTAAGGAAGGCAAAAACCAATATAAGCTTTTATTGACACCAGACTCAGCAAACGACTCGTTTTTTAAAGTGGGGAACTATGACGTCAAAGAGGATAAAACACCACCCCCGCAGAAGAAGATCAAAACCTACTTCAACACGGCCGGTTTAGCCCTGCCCACTGATTCATGTATTACACGCATAGCTAAACAAACATAGATGCCTACCTCGTGATGACAAACCGGATCGAGCTACCGAGCACTAAATATGCACTGACGAGTGAAACTCATTATAATATGTAAAACTTTTATCCAATCACAGCAGTGTTTTTTTATGTAAAAACCAAGCGAACATTAAAAGGTGACCTCAGACAACAATATAAAAAATGTAAAAAGCCAGTTCATGACCCCTTTAATACAACTGTCAGGTACATTGACAGTCTTGTCCGTCTTGCCACTGTTTAATGTTTCCTTGTTTGTTTTGTGCCTGAGCCTGTCCCATCTCCTCATTTCCATTTGCCCCTTGTTTAGTCCATGTTTAGTCCTAGTTTCACTAATTGTGCTCACCTGATCCTCATATGTTCTGGTCCCTTTATATTGTGCCTATTTTCATCATGTCTTTGTTGTGTGTCTTAACTCCTGTTCGCTTACCTGGGTCTGCAGTTTATCGCTGCTCTTGTTCCAGTAAAGTGTTTGATTAGTTTTAGTGTATCCTTGTTGCTTTTTTTTCTTTTTTTACTTTAGACTTTCTTCTCCAATATTTAGTTGCCTGCAACTTTGTTCTTTTGTTTAATTTTATTTGTTTGTAGGTTCCAGTTGTTTCTAGTTTTCTTTTATTTATCTAGCCATTATTTACATCAGGTTTTAGTTTGTCTCTTGTTTCATTTATTATCTTTTCTGTTGTCTTGCTCTTATCATGTCTTGTTCATTGTGAGTCTTCCCTACCTGGCAGCCTCGACTGGTGCCACGGCTAAGAGATCACCAAGCCTCTGGTTCCTTGTGTTCCTGCCTTATTTCACCTATAGGACTGGGTTCAGTGGTCATCCTCCTTGCCTGTCATCGTGTCTTCAGCCCTTCTGTTCGCACTGTTTCACACCTCGCTCCTTGTTGTGCCCTGTCTATAGTCTTGTTAATAAAAAAAAAAAAAACCTTTACAGCTTTTCTGTGCCTGGGTCCTCTTTCAGATCCTTGACAGTTTGTGACAAACTTAAATTTTCTCCACACTATTTCTGTCCACAGAGGTTTTCATCAGCCAGTAAGTCCAGATTTAAATTTAAAGAGACAAGATAGTCTATGCGTGACCTGATGTTTTATACTTATTCAAAATGAAGTGGCCTGATGTTTTATTCTTATTCAAAGTGAGGTGACGTAAACTCATGTAATGTATTGTTGGATTCAGAACTGCATACTAGTATACTACTCTTACTATGCTGTAAATAAAATTGTTTGATCAATAAGTTATAAAAACATATGTTTAAATTGCTGAAACGCATCAATAAGTTACATTTAGTAATTTAGCAGATGCTTTTGTTTTATCCAAAGCGACTTACATCTGAGGACTAAATCAATGAACAAGTCATCGTGAAGAGGCAATAACAACACAAGAAGTGTTCAAAATACAAAGTTCAAACATTGCTTAGAGTAGCATAAACCAGGCAAGTAAGGATTTAAAGAATTTTTTTTTATGTTAAGTGCTCACGGAAGAGATGAGTTTTCAGTTGTCTTTTGAATGCTGTCAGGGATTCTTGGAAAAGTTAAGCAATTTTCATCCGTTTTTATAAGTTATACAACTTTCAGGATTCACTGATTTTAAGTAATTTTAATGTCATTTAAGTTGAAATTTGGTGGTTGGCAGTGTTCCTTAGTGCTGGTACTGGAAGCGAGAAACTCCATGTGGCCTTTCCTTTCCTCTTATTACATTTCTCCTCCATCCCCTAGACTAACTTTGAGTGAAGCTATTGGGGGCTCGTCCGGGATTTTAGCCTGGGACCATTCAAAAGTTGACTACTTAATTTTACAGCAAAAGCATTTTTTTACAGTATACTTTTACCATATATTTCTAGTATTGCATAAGTTGTGTGCAGATATATAATTCACACTTAATTAAAAACAGCAGTTTTTAAACTCATAAAGCGATTTCCAATTCTGCTGTGTAAATTCCAATTTTGCATCCTGTTTGCTACATCAATTCAAAACTAATCCAAAATGATAATTAAATGGTGGAATGCATCAGTCGCTAAGGTATGATTGGTCAATTAAATTTTAAGGCGGGGCTTAAGGATTAAACATATTTTTTTTAGGGGGAGGAGCATCAATTATGTAAAGGCAGAAAGTTCGGAAGCAGAATGGAGGCTTTCTTTGTGAGTTACCAGTGTCTCTACCTCTTACAGCTTTCCTTTTGTAAGCTTATAGGGAACAGTTCCCAGGTGCACTTGGTGTGTGTTCAAAGAGAAGGGGTATATTTAGCACCCAGCTACTGAGGAGCCGATCACTCTTTCTTTCTTGTCACATTGACTTCATCCAAGTTACAAGAAATCGAGTCACTTCAGCTGCCATATTTAGACCTTACTTTGCTGTAATACAATCTTTTTTAACATAGTCTGAGCCAATCGGCTGTGACTGGCACATTGGAAGCTTTTAAAACACTCACAGCAACCTTTAGAGCTGTAGTGCAGAACGCCAACAATAATAGCCATTGAATCAAAGTGGGCCGGACTGGAAATTTGTACACAAGACATTGAAATGCGTTGCAGTTTGATGCGCAACTCGCATCGGAATAATTCACTGCTATTTGTGGACATTGTGTCTCTGACACACTGTCGCATTCAACAACCATCTAATAGGGATACCTAATAATACAGTTTTGCTCATAATTACAGAGTGTCGCAGGGTGCAAGACAGCCTCCCCTGTGTGTAAACGTGAGATGCCTCATTAAAGACAGAGGGCCTCTCGCGAATACATCAGAGAGTTTATTCCACCAGGTTTTAAATAATATATCACATGTAAAGCAATATAATCTTCCTGGAGTGAATAGAATATGAAATATTTTAAAAAAACAGCTCGAGATGTAACATACAGTATCTCATGTTGTGCATCTAGTCCAGAGAAACACAAGACAGACTGCATCATCTGGACCATTTGCAATTCTTGGGATTGGGTTTGAATATACAAAAGATAAAAAACAAACAAAAAAGATGCCCAAACATGCAAAATTTCCTCTTGCATTTTATTTGCAAACATTCGGCAGTCCAACTTAAAGGGATTGTTCAACCAAAAATGAAAATTCTGTCATTCACTCATTTAGTAATATGTTTTCAAATCTGTATGACTTTCAACTTCCTGAAAAAAAAATTGAGAATTCAAGTTTTGTGGAAATTACTTTAACCAAATTGTAAAAACTTCTAAAGAACTAAAGAGCTGGTACAATGATGTCTAGTAAATGATTTATGAAACCTTCAAGATAAAAACATGTCGAAAAACAGATTCACCTCATCCAATCAATTTGGACAAAAACCAAATCCCACAAACAAAAGTTTCTTCAAACTTCCTGGAGATAATAATGCAGCGTTCAGTTCTCTTATTAAAACAGCCATTACTCATGCTAGTCATAACTCAATGAAGAGTTATGATCTTAATATTGTTGATGCTTTCCTGATCTCTGAAGACCCTACCATATCAAAAGCCAGAGAATAAGCGTCAATGAGTTATGATTGCACCTCACGGAAACATCCATTTCATCAAATATTTAAAACCCTAATAGAAAATCAATTCGCCAGGAACAACATTAGGAACGAGAAACCATGTCCTCCACATTAAGTTCAAGAGTTTCACCATTAATTCAATCCCTCTTCCCCTCAGAGGAAACACGATGATAATAACTGAAGCCAGACTGACGAAAAAGAGAGAGAGAGAGAGAGAGAGAGAGAGAGAGAGAGAGAGAGAGAGAGACGTTTCCTCTTCTCAGTGTATGTGGTGGAACACCACAGGTCAAAGTTAATATCAAACCCACAAAGCAGTAATGAAAAAAGGATTAGAGTGGAAGGAGGGGGAGACGGAGAGAGAGACAGAGAGCGAGAGAGAAAGTTTGCCAGGGGTGGTCTTACCGCTGATGCAAAGGCTGAGAGAGCACAGACTCTCCTCGCAGGTCTCCGGGCTCTCCGCCTCCCAGTGAGACCCTCTTTCCCTTTTCCTGGGAGACATCTGTCTTACGATGTTTAAAACCCGGTTCACTCTATCCATCCTTCCCTTAGCTTTGCGTGACCGAATGTCCCACGATTCCACCCCAACGTGTCACATTAGACACGGAGAGTCTTCTGAACGAGCACGTTGAGGAGACGCTTTGGCTGTTAGGATGCTAAATTTACGCCTTTTTTCATTTGATTTACAACAAGCCAAGAAAACGGGAGCAGAGGGGGAAATGAACAGAAATATATCCCAGTTTGCCTCCCTCTCACTGTGAACCTTTATCCCACTGCTTCCACAGCACAACTAGCAGTGAGTTGATCTTTTTTTTACCTCCCTCCCTCTATCCAGCTTGCTCTCTCCGACTCGCTCACTCTAGCTTTCATCTTTTTCACGAGGGTCCTCTCTAATCAGCTAATAATACCTCATTAGAATTGGGAGAAAGAGGGGGGGTTAACCTTAGGATGGAGGACGGACCAACAGCTGTGAGGTGGCCACACAGAAAAGTAAATCCACCTCGATGATGTATCTAATTGGAGTTGTCACGTCTATGTCTGTTAGCATTGGAGCTTCCTATATATTCTAATGTACAGCTAATTGGGAAAATTTGCTTTTATCAGATATACACCTTTACAGTCTTTCTCTCTTGGGCAAACAGACTAACAATATCGATGAGATCATCTTGCACTTGGAGGGTGTAACCAAATATTTGACTGTTCAAATGGTGTCTTCCAAGCAAGTAATAGCAAGTAGGATAATATAAATTGATTGGTCTGCTGGCTATTTTAAAAAGAGACAGACCTTGCGTCAGAATATGCACACTTACCTTCTATATAGTAGGCGAAAAGCGAGTTGTATGTCCTAATTCGTAGTAGGTGAGTAGGTCACAGACAATATGTCACATGACATGAGTAGTATGTCTTAATTTCTTAGTATTCATGGACATTGAAAGCTGAACATGATTTCACCAAGTACATCATGTGGCTGGATCAACATCTTTGTTTATCCTGGAGCAACATAATTTTATAATTTATGTCAAGTTTAAGCCTACAGACAGGGTTAGGAGCTCCTGTTAATCACATATGAATTCCCCCAGATTAGGTAGGGATAGCGTTAGTAAAAAAAAAAAAAAATAGCCAGAAATTTTGTTCCAGGATCAAGAAAATATAGCCCCTTTCACACAGCGCATTGATCCTGGGAAATTGCCTTGAAATAGCCAGAATGCCTTCTGTGTGAACGGTATTGATGCCGGGTTGGGGACCTAGTAACATTGCAGGAATCAGTCCTGGGGCCAACTCCAGGACCAATGCTGTAAGGGGTGTGTCATAGTGATGACATTCGTACCATCGCGCGACTCTGTTGCTCTTAAAAGAAAGTTGGTGTTCGTAATCAACAAAGAAAAGGCGAACAAATGTCTGCAAACTGGAACGAAGCAGAGACCAGGAGCTCCTCACTATCCGCACTGAAGCTGAGATCGTTCACCAGCTTTGTGGAACGGTATGCACGTGTACGTGTTTTCGACACGTACGTTACAAGTCTCATCCTGACGTCATCTGTCTTTCCGGGATCTTTGTGGGTTGTGTGTGAACGCACTCACAGATCCTGGCAAATCACTGGCAGTGTGAACGAACCAAAATCAAACAATCCCGGGACAAATGCCGGGTCACATTATCCGTGTATTTTCCGGAATCTCTGTGTGAAAGGGGCTTATGTTGATCCAGGAGCATGTTGCACTTGGCAAAATCACGGTGGCATATGCAAAAATGGGACCGGATGAGGATGACCCTTTGAATTCGTTGTAGTCATAAAACAGTAGGGTGAAATACGTAGTTTGTCTAAATTCGTAGTATTCATGAAATCACGTTCACCAACATTTCACCAAGTACATCATGTGGCTGGATAAACATCTTTGCTAATCCTGGAACTACATTCCAATCAACCAATCAGATTTGAGGGACAGTTTACAGTTTATGTCAAGCTTATGGTGTGTTCTATTATTTATCTGTCTCAGAGATCTGAATCGTAAGACACACGTTGACTAGCAACAAGTCCCCTTTCCTCGGATTTCTCCTCTCGGACGTTGGACAACCGTGAGGACACTGAGCAAGAATTCCATTTCGGAATTCAAGATGGCTGCACCCTGTGTGACTTGTAAGTATGAATTGTTTTCATTGTTTTTGAACCGCTTTGGTATTTTAAATGACGATTATAATCACTCGTATTACTGCATCCCCTGTAGGTATGGGAATTGGTTGTTGTGAGTGCAATTACTAACGTTGCTAGCGTTTCTAACAGAAGATTTACATGAAAAACATGAAATAAAGTGAACGTTTTCAAACTAAATGGCTACGTTTTGATGAGGTGTAGTCATAATATTTTTTACTCGGCCAGTGCTACCATTATAACAGCTTTCCGGGTGGCGTCCATTTTTTTCTTCGACTCGGATGCGCAAAACATAATAGAGCGCTTGAAGTGTGGACGTGACGTCATATCCGAGGTCCGAGTCGGTTCCTTGGCAACAATAGAATGCACCATTAGGGTGAAATCAGTCGTATGTCCAAATTAGTATAAACACAATAGGCAAAAAGTACTTCCACAGAGATTCTGAAGTGTTCATTGAATGGATGCTTTACTATCCCATGAGGCCATTTGAGTTGAGTTATGAATGTCAGTGATCCAACTGACGCTGTAGGTTACATGACAATAACAACATGACTAATGTTGTTATGTGCTGGGAGGATAGACGAACCCAAAAGCAGACTGATTGCTCAACACAGAATTTATTCAAGACAAAAAGGGGAAAACAAAGCCCACGAGGGGGCAAAACAAGACTGGGTAACAAACACTAGACTTAAACTGAGGTCAAGACAGGAACAATACTAAGACACGAACAGACTCTGGATTAACAGTTAACTCAAGGGATTACTCACTGCAAACTTCACAAAACAAACAGATCTCACGGCAGGTTACACAGCATGTTTCAAACAATGAACCGACACAGGACAGCAAACACAAGGGGATTATAAAGGGGAACACTAATGACCAGGACAGGTGAAACTGACTAGACAATAATCACAAGACTAGGATAACAAGGGGGCGGGGTAAGTTAACGAGACAACACAAGCACATGGCCCAAACAGGACGTGCGCTTGCACACAAAACATGATTCTGTCATGATCCTGCCTCACGACTAGAGAAAAATCAAAGACAAGAAGGCAGAATCATGACAGAACCCCCACCTTAAGGAGCGGCTTCCAGACGCTCCTCAAGGGGACATTAAACACGGGACATGACAGACTGTGACAAAGACACAAACCAACAGTACATAGCAAAAACTAACAAAGGCATACAAAAATACACAACGACAGGATTGGGGTGAAACATCAAAAACAACATACAAGGCAGAGGAGGTGGAGGAAGCACAGAGTCTTTGAGCGACTGTCCAGGGTGGGTGGGCGGGACAGGGGTCCTGGGACCACAGGGAGTGGACTTAGGATGAGAGGACCGAGCGGGCTTGGGAGGAGTGGTGTGGGACAAGGGAAAAACAGTCCAGGGTTGAGCCATGACAGGGGAGACAGGGGAAACAAACGGAAGTCCAGGGACCGTGGGGACAGGGACAAATGGGGAAACAGTCCGGGACCGGGGTTGAGTGCAGACAGGACTGACCGGGGAAACACACGAGGTCTTGGGAACAGTGGAAGTCACAACAGGGATAGCAACTGGGGGTACAGCGAACGATGGAGACGAAGCAGGACTCATGACGGGGGGTGTGGTAGGAGATCGAAGAGGGAAAACTGGGACAGAGCTCACCGAAGGTGACTCGGATCCGACGATCAACCTCTCCGACTTGGGAGTGGTGTTCTCCGCTGCAGGTTCAGGGACAGCGCCTACAGACATAGGTTCAGGGACAGCACTTACAGACACAGGTTCAGGGACAGCGCTTACAGCAGCGGGTTCAGGGACAGCGCTTACAGCAGCGGGTTCAGGAACAGCGCTTACAGACACAGTGGGCTCGGGACAAGACAGGACAGGCACTTCGAGGATCTTGATCAGACTGGACAAATAGTCAGACAGGGTCTTGGCAGCCAGAGAGATGGGCATCTCCTGACGAGCAGAAACCGACTGCAGAATCTCTCTTGCGGCTAGATCGGCCGCAACTCTCTCCGCAGTGGGCTCTGGGACGGCGCCTGCTGGAGCGGGCTCTGGGACGGCGCCTGCTGGAGCGGGCTCTGGGAGAGACAGAGACAGAGGACCAGAGGCTCCCTTCTTCCTCTTCTTCTTCCTGGGTCGTGGAGCAGAGGACATAGCCAGGCTTGTGACCGGTTGGGGAAGCACGGCAGGAAGTGTGGTCTCAGTTGAAGAGGACTCCGAAGTAGACTCCCACGACAGCCGTCTCTCTCGCTTGCCACGGAGACTTGCGGGTGCAGCTGATGCGTCGGGAGCCGAAGTGGAGTGAGCCTGGTTCCCCTGCGTAACCACGGCTAAAATGTGACCCTCCGGGATCACTGGCAGCCTGGCAGGTGGTGACAAGCTTGTGGGTGTCTGTGACTCTCTCCGGGATAAGCTATCCACCACAGCTTGAAATGGGCGACGAGTGAGCTCCTCCCGTTCAGTCAACGGAGGTGGAGAGTTGAGACCGGCGATGAAATAGCGAGAAACCAGGACCTCAGGCAGGAAGAATCTCCTTTCTTCAACGACTTGAGCATACTTCTGCAGGGACAACTCACCCTGGGGAGGAAATGGAAGTCTTCCAGCTCTACTATCTGCGATGGCCGACTGCCACCATAATTCTTGGTCAGCCGGTTGTGGTCTATTGGGGAAAGACAAACAGTCTGCTGGGTTCTTTTCTGGTCGGTTCATTCTGTTATGTGCTGGGAGGATAGACGAACCCAAAAGCAGACTGATTGCTCAACACAGAATTTATTCAAGACAAAAAGGGGAAAACAAAGCCCACGAGGGGGCAAAACAAGACTGGGTAACAAACACTAGACTTAAACTGAGGTCAAGACAGGAACAATACTAAGACACGAACAGACTCTGGATTAACAGTTAACTCAAG